CTATAGAGTAACTCACTGCCAAGGTATGCAGAAGAGCATCTCTGAGCACACAAGACATCAAACCTGGAAGTGGATGGGCTACAGCAGCAGACCAAATTTCTGACAACTAAGAACACATTAATGATGCATGCTCTGATGAGTCTCAGTATCTGCCACTCATTCAGGGTTTGGCATGAACAACATGAGGGCCCTGCCTGCTGCTGGTGGTGTCATGGTGTGGGAGATATTTTCTTGGCACGCTTCGGGTCCCTTACTAAAAGTTAAGAATCATTTGAACGACACAGCCTACCTGAGTATTGTTGCTGGCGAGGTTCATCCTTTTTTGATCACATCTGTCAGCACCAGCATCACACACAGTGTCACAAAGCTCAAATCATCCCAAACTGGTGTCTTGAAAATTCACTGTACTCAAATAGCCTCCATATTCACCAGTCCACTGACAAATCTGCAGCAGCTATGTTATGGTCATGTCACTACAGACCAAAGTCTCTGAAGATGGTTTCCAGTACATTGTTGAATCTGTGTCATGAAGAACTAAGTGAGTTCAGGGGAAAAGGGGGTCCAATCTGGTGTACCTAATAAAATGCCCAGTGAGTGTGTGTAGATATAGCACAAAGCTAAATGTTTGTCTGTGTTTTGTGTCCAGCCCCCCGCTCCCTCACACGCAGGCCCACGAGTATGACCTGAGCATTGACCAGCAGCTGAATTTGGCCTATGTGGGCTCTGTTCCTCATGGAGGGATCCAGCAGGTCAGGATACACTGGATGCTGGAGCTGGTGACTGCACAGTAAGTGAAGTAAATGAACAAGCGAGTAGGTAGCAAGTAGCATGACATGTGGTGGGTCATGTTTGCTATAATACGCTCGCGATCGAAGACGAGCTTTTTGAATGTTGTTTTTGTAGGTTATAACTTACAGTAGTACTAAGAGTGGTCTCGTCTAACTTTTTTTAATTTTAGAGATATTGGAGGAAAACCTCAATATAACTTCACTAGACTGGACC